GCGCAGCAGCCCCAGCAAGAGCCCTCCTGGTTGGGCTCAGCTCTTGAACTGTGTCACGTATGAAGAGAATGTGTCCTGGTGGCCTTCTCCTGCTCCAGTAACACGGGTCCCAGAACAAACTCATGCAGCAGCCCAAGCCTGCTGGCAAGAGGAGAGGAAGCTGAGCGACCTCCCTGTCGGGCATCCTCTGGAGACATGGCACCCGGGCCCGCTGCAGCCCTGAGTGGAACAGCAAGATCCCCAGGGAGTGAGAGTGCCCAAGGCTCCTCCAGGGGGCGCCCACAGCGTCCGCCCCCATGTGCTTCAGGGGCAATCACCAAAACCAAGTCAGGGCTGTGAATCAAACTCCAAAAGCAGGAGGTTAAGACAAGCTGAACAGGAAGGATGGGTGCAGACAGGCGTGTTCATGCGGCGGCTCAGTCCACACAGATTGAGGTTCACGCATCAGTTTGTACTTTAGTTTTGTTTTGTAAGAGGCAAAACCCAAGGGGGAATGATGGGCACCCATTTTAAGGCAGAGATGATTTCTAGGAGGGAGTGGGGACTGAGGACAGTGTTGGACTTTACCTGAATCTATTCTTGTGTTTCCTTCTAGGGACAGGAGAGATCCCACACAGGTGGGCGGGATCCGAGGAGCTGACACAGTGAGAACAAGGAGCCACACCAGAGGCCACCGGCTCCAGGCCCCCAGCCCACAGGGGCCTCTGTGAGGATGGAGCTCGGCCCGGCCCAGGTTCAGCCAGAGGCTGCGAGCAGGGCCCAGGCTCCAGGGCGACCCCAGAACCACCAGGCCTGCTTCTCTGTGGCCCTGGAACATCGGGGTCTCCTGGAACTCATTAAGAATGCGGCTCTCAGGCCCCATCCGGACCCCAGAGTCAGGACCTGCATCACCAAGACCGCCTGTGAGAGCGGCCGCCCTCTCCTCAGACCAGGCGTTCAGCCAGGGACAAACGCAGGTCCCGAGGGGAGAAGGGTCCCACTTCTCTATGCACACAGAGCCCCCTGGCAGATGTGCCAAGTGCCATCCGGTGGGGCAACGGAGAAGATGACATCTAAAACCGGTCGGGGACAGTAGTGAAAAGGAGCCGGGGCGTGGAGGCCCGTGAGGGCCAGCCCAGGGCTGCTCTTCCGCTCGGTCTCAGGGGGACAGTTCATCCCTAGGACTAGTCCCACTTTAAAACCCAGAGTCCAGAGTCCCAGGAAGCCCTCCCGTCTGTGGGTCCCTCGTTTATCACGGCCACCCCCTGGCCTGGCAAGGGGGCCCTGAAGTGACACTCGCTGTGTCATGGAGTGCACACAGTGTCATGGGGACTCTGAGCACTCGGGGTCTCCCCACTCCACAGCAGCCCCCGCTCCACCCGCTGCTTCCTTCCCCTGGGGCAGGGTTGCGGGAGGGCTGGGATGGGCAGGTGCGGGCGCCAGGAGCCAGCCAGCCAGCAAGAGCAAGCAGGAGGAGGGGGTGTGGTGACAGGAGGGAGGACAGGGCAGCGGGCGGGGGCTGGGAGGGTCCCTGTGAGCCAGCTGCAGCTGCAGAGGTGGAAAGGGAGGGTGGCCGGGGGGTGGGCACCGAGATGGGGCCACTTAGGAAATTCTATCAGAAGGCATCACCAGGGCTTAGTGATAGACTATTTGGTGGACTGAATGGTAGCATCAGAAGAGATGTCCCCCTGAACCATGATTTTCATTGGAAAAGGGGTCTTGGCAGATGTGACTGAGGTGAGGTTCTCAAGATGACCTCATCCTGGACCACCCAGCTGGACCATCCCAGTTTCCTTAGAAGAAGCTCAGAGGAGAGATACACAGGGACAGCCACGTGAAGACCCAGGCAGGGATTGAGTGGTGGCCACAGGGTCCTCCAACAGCCACCAGGAGCTGGGTCCTGCCTCCCGCCTTCAGAGGAAGTGCTGCCCTGAGACACCTTAACTTGGACTCTGACCCCCAGGACAGACGGAGGACACATTTCTGCTGTTTTAGCCCCACCCCCAGCTGTGGTCAATTGTTACACTGGCCACTGCTCCCAGACAGCTGGGAGGACAAAGTCAGGATGGACTCAAACGCAATCCTGGCTGGAGGGAGAAGAGCTTGGTCATTAGCCCCAGGAGGAGGGCGGCCAGGCGGCCTCGACCCTGGGGAGCCCATTCCTCACCCCCAGCCTGGTTCCCAGGGCCTGGAGGTGGAGCAGAGAACCCCACCACAAGGAGACGGTGCAGATCACGGATCATCAGGGCGGGAGGGAGAGCCGACTGGCACGGGCCCATTAGATGCAGGACAATTAAAAATGTATTTGGCATAGATTTCAGAGAGCCATTTCTAGAATGTAAATACCATACCTGTCATTAAAAATGTATTTATGGGAATTACCCAGGAGGATTCTTGGGAGGCTGGGTGTGCATTCGGTAAGTAGGTCTTTAATAACCCCATTTAATATGTGCTCCCCAGACACAGCCTGCAAACCGCATCCTCCTGGGCCTCAGAGGCCGACAGAGGCAGGCAGCTCCCAGGGAAGGTCCAAGGGGCTCCCCACCGAGTCCCACCGTGGACAGATGGCAGGATGGGAGCAGATGATTCCCAGGGGAGAAAATGAGGCCAGCACTCAGGCAGGGGAAGCAGCTCGCCCCACTAGGAGGCAAGGGGAGCAGATTGGAATAACCACAGCCCTGCCGTCCTAGGAAGCTGGGAGCCGCTGCTGCCCAGGAGTGGGGGCCTGCCTGGCGGCCACATGCGTCCCCTTAAAGAACCCACCGCTCTGCGCCCTGCCTCTGCCAGGTCCATCCCAGGGAACCAGAGGGAAAGGAGAACTATGTGCCTAAGGTTTTCATGACAGCCTTGACTCGGGGAAGGCAAAGCTGGGGGACCCGCTCCGGGGCCAGCGTGCAGCTGAGAGGGTGACAGCCACGTGACAGCGTGGAAAACTGGAGATGGAAGCGAACACAGCCCTTCAGTGTGGGCCTACATCTGCGTGAGAGCATCAGCGTAACGAGAGGACATAAACAAAGAGAGTGATTGCAGCCACGAGGCAGGCTTTCCTGAGACGACTCACGCTCCACATGCATGTTTAATAAAGGCGAGGAGCCGTCTGGGCCTCGAGACGGTGATGAGAGGAACAAGCAAAGTCAGACTCTGTTGATTTGCTCTGGGGAAAGGCTAAATGGAGACCGTGCCGCTCTGGAGACGTGGGCGGGCACCTCCTCCTGTCCCACAGCCCCTCCAGGGCCCCCCACCCCATCCTACAGGACGAGCACCTCCCACCCCCTTGGGGCAGCTCTGAGTGGGGCTTCAGAGTGGGGCTCCCCCACCTGCTCCTGAAGAACCCTGCCTGGGCCCGTCAGCAAGGAGTCCTGGGCCCCGGGCCCCAGGGCCAGCCAGGCTCAGTCCCCACACCCCACCAGGACCTGCAGCAAGATGGTCCGCACAGTGCAGATGGCAGCAGGAAGGACCAGCCGTTCACCACCCCAACACCATTAGAGATACGCAGTGGGGGGCCGAGGAACCCACACTCTGGAAATCTCTAGGGAGCTGTCCCAGGGGAGGGGTTACCAGGGCCTTTCAGGTCTTGACTGACAGGCAGTTGAGGGAACTGAGCCGTCTTGCTTGGAGGAGGAGGAGACTGAACTGTATCCATCCATCTCATCCACCATGGAGCCAGGGGATCCCCCCATCTGCACTCCATCTGCCCAGCAGCAAGGCCACACCCCGCAGGGGTCTGCCAGCCCCGAGGAGCCATGGCTCCTCAGCCAACCCTCTGCGTAAACCCCAAAGGGAAGCCCAAGGGACTCCGCTGGGACTCAATGCCTGAGTGGTTTCTGCTCTCATCCGGAAACAATGGACGGCCAGCGAGGAGGCTGCGAGAGCCAGCTCCCCGCCAGGCGGGGCCGCGCGGGGGCGTCAGGAAACACGTCCTCCTGGAGGAATGCGGCCCCTTGCCTGACCCCGTTTTCTGGCAGTAGTGATGGAATTGGAAGAACAGGCCCAGGAGCCAGGGACGAGTACGCAGCTGGGAGCCGGCTGGGAAACGCACTGGGGAGCCAGGGGAGCGGCTGCCTGAGCCCACGGTGGCCAGGCCAGCTGGCTCAAGGAGACACAGCCAAGGTCCCAAGTCCAGGCGCCACAGCAATGACTTCCCAAAGCGACACAGAAATCCCACCATGAGGACCCGCGGAGTGGGGCCCCAAGTCCTCCTGCCAAAAGCAAACCAAAGGCAGAATGATTCAGCCCCTTGCTGCCTCCCACAGACCCCAGTCCTGACCAGCAGGGGCGGGCCAAGGAGAAAGATGAACCAACAACAAGGAATTAATTATCACTTGGGAAACGCACGGTGGGAGCTGCAGGGCTCCACGCCCAAGAACGGCTGGTGGAGGACCGGCGAGTCCTCTTGGGGAAAAGTCTGCACCCACCGCCCAGGAGGGCTGGCACCCTGCAAGGGACATAAACAGGGCGGATGGGGGCAAGCTGAACAGTCTCCCCAAAGCTCCTCCTCACTCCCCTCTCTGCAGACACCAAAGGGTGGCCAGTGTCCTCCGGCCACATTCACATGTCACATATAAAGAGATGTCCTGCTTTGCGGGTGGGTCGTTTATCTACCAAGCTAAGCCCAGAAGAAAGGGAAACACCTCGACCGACCAACCATGAGGACAGGCTCGCTGTGGAGCCTGCAGGAGCCATGGGATGTCCAGCGGCACAGGGAAAATGCGCACTGACCTGAATTCACAACACACCCTGCTCCTGGGGAGGAAACAAAAGGGGAGGATAACAGAGAGGAGAGGGGAGGGGAGGGGAGGGGAGGGGAGAGGAGGAGAGGAGCAGCTCTGACCTGCACCCAGCTGCGCGCCCTCCGGCTAAACTGCCAATCCATTTCAGCCTCTCCTGAGTGCACTGTCCAGGCAGAGAGCCCCAGGCCTCCACGGCAGGAAGGCACTAAAGCCTCAGTCCTCAGTCGAGACCCCAGAGTCGCCACACAGGTACAGCGCAGGACAGAAAGGCCCACCATCAGGCTGACTTACCGCCACAGAGAACTTTCCAGAACCTTCCCCATGTCTGCATGGTAGTACTTCGTCAGGATCAAGATCACCTGTGGAGTTAACAGGAAAAGGTGGGCATGAGCTGATGGCAGTTCTCAAAGAGGGATTCAGGGACCTCCCCCTGGGCTCTGGGGTCTCAAATACAGCTGCTCTAGAGCCCCCGCGCCAGAGCATGCAGATGCGGGCTGGTTCCCATGACTTCTGCTGCTCAGAACTACTCTGGGGACACTCCGATCCTGTGAGATCTTTTTACCTGTCACCATTTGGCAGGAATCATCCAAACCCAGCCTTGCACGATCTCAAACTGCGACCAAAGGAACAGCCGCGGTGGCGGTCCCCTGGGCGCACTGGGCACACTTGGCAAGGCTTCTGAAGACAGGGCCTCTCCACCAGCGCCACGGAGAATCCCCAAGCCAGCGGGAGCAGCTGCGAGCCCGCCGCCCCAGACAGGAGCAGGCCCCTGCGGGCCGTGCTGTCATTACTTTTTCCAGAGTGGTGGCTGCTGTCAGAGCTGATGACGGTGGGCAAGATGGCTGAGACAGCCAGAGGGGGTCCATAAATCAACGACCGCACACGTGCACACACACACACACACACACACACTTTATTTTGTTGTTAAACTATTCAACACACTCTTGGGGCCCTCGTAACAAAGCTGTTTTCATTTCAGTCCTGTACAGAAAATGCAGCCATTTAGAAAATGAAAATAAATGTGTTTAAGAACATTCAAAATGCTCTTAAAAACGGGTGCATGAAACAACAAAAAAGAGAGAGAGAGAGAGCAAATGGGGATCCGTCAGCCCCTGTGGGAAAGGAGATTGATCCCCAATTACTTCAGCGGCCACAGTGTTCTCAGTCCATCCCATTTCATCTCTCTGCTGCCAGTCCGCGTTAGTGGTTCCTAACACTCCCGTTGCCATGGGAACCCCGGGAGGCTCAACGGGACACCCCCAGGTCCCCGGCGTGCCTGCTAGCCTGGTTACTTTGGGGTCGCCAGGCCGGCCGTGGCCAGCACCCTGGCTGCTCCCCGAGGGCTGAGCTTTGGGGACCTCGGCCTGCGGGGCGTTGCCGACGCGGCCAGGAGCCTGTGGACGGCTGTCTTTCTTTCCCTGGTGATTAGAGCAGGGAAGATAGGAGGAGGGATGTCAACCGAGACGGGACAGCGTGCGTCTGAGGCAGGATGATTAAAAGAAGAAGAAAGGGAGGCCTTGTCGACAGCCGCTGTCCCTGCCTGGCTCGGGAACAAAGCCACTTCCTCTGCCAGCTCACAGCCTGCCCGAGTCAGAGCCGGAGCCTCTGAAGACGGAGGCGGCACTGAGTGACAGGGCCCGGACGGGCAGGAGACAAGCGTATTTTTAACCTATTGATTTATATTTTATATGGTCTCGCTGTCCCCAGAGGGGTTTTTGTGGAGCCGGAGCGTGACAGCTGGAAGGAACCTCAAAGTCTGTTTCATCCAGTCCCATCCAGGATGAAATCATCGCTCCAACCTCATCCCCGTCACAGCCGGGCCCAGAGCTCTGGGCACGCCTCGAGGGTGGGAGCTGGCCCCGGACTGGCACTCAGGCCCCGCACGGGCTGCCTGGTTTGGAGGCTGCCTGGTTTGGAGGCTGCCTGGTTTGGAGGCTGCCTGGTTTTGGAGGCTGCTTGGTTTGAAGGCTGCCTGGTTTTGGAGGCTGCCTGGTTTTGGAGGCTGCCTGGTTTGGAGGCTGCCTGGTTTGGAGGCTGGGCTCGATTCCGGGAGCTCCTGCCTGCGTGGGCTGGCCTTGCTGGGGACTCCACTCCCGCCCACCCCCAGCCTCCACTCCAGCGGGCCCGGCCTTCGCCGGGGCTCTTCCTCATCTGGGACCCTCTTCCCGACGACCCCCCTATTTCTTGGTTCACTGTAGCCACATGGCCTTGGGAAGTGTCCCAGACGACCCCCTGGGACAGCACCCCACATGGCCCCACTCCACTTCCCCACCTGCATAGCTCACAGGGTCTGTCCTCCCAGGGTGGAGACCTGCTCTTGTGCAGTGTCCCCAGGGCTGAAGCATGGGAGCCACTAGCAGAGACACCAAAGCAGCTTTTCCCCCAGAGAGGACGAGGGCGATGATGCCAGGCAGAGGCAGGGCCCCGGGAAGGCCCCAGCTCCTGCCTCCATGCCCAGGGCACCCTTTTGCCATCAAGAGGACACGCTGTCCATGCCCCACACTGGGAAACAGGACTGCTCTCTGGGGCTGCCTCGACGGGGGTGTGGCACGCTTGGTTACCCCTGGTGTCGGCATGGTCCTGATGTGCCAGGTCCTCTCGCTCACCCCTTCCCACTGCCAGGGGGCCCCTGGATGGCTCTTGTCCTGTTTCACAGATGAAGAAACCAAACCAGACAGAGCTGCAATGATCTGTCAAAACCACACCCCGCGGCGCAGAGCTGGCCGCCCCAGCTGCTGGACCTCAGGCAGGCGCCTCTTGGCCAGGCCTGGACCCTGTTTGCAGGAGGCACTTCTAGTGGGTTCAAAGCCTCCACATTGTGACCCTTCTGGGCCTCCACTCCCTGCCTTGGACGCCAACTCCCCCAGGACCGCCTCCTGCCTCGGGTGGGCCCAGAGCTCTGGGCGTGTTGAGCTGGGGGCAGGGAATCAGGAATGTGAGAGGAGTGGCCCAGGTGCCGCCCTCGGGGCTCCTCATGCCCAGACGCCCAGGCTCAACTGAAAGAGAGAAGGGAACGAGGCCTCTGCCGCCAAGGGGGGAGGACGGTGCATTCCTTACTGTCACCCTCACATTTCGACTAATTTCCAGTCCTCCTGGCCCCGGGGGTGGCAATGCAAGGGTTTGTCCTCATGCAGGAAATCTGCCCATGGGTGCTGGGTGACTCCTCGTGCCAGCTCAGCATGCCATGGGCGTGAGTCCATGTGACATGGACACAAGAGACCCCATGGTGAAGGCTGCTACAGCATCACCACCGAGGAGCTCACTGGCAGGACTGTAGCCCCAGGGCCTCTGCATGTGAGCTGGACGCTCCTCCCACACTGCTCTGCCTGCCTGCTGCTCTCTCTGAAAGCCACCTCCTCCTGGAAGCCTTCCCTGACCACCCAGGCTGGGCACTCCAGGAGGGAGGGCCTGCATGGTCTCCAGCACCACTGTCTCCAAAGCCGGTCCAGGCACTGGTCAGCCATAGGGTGAGGGAGCCAGATGGGTCATTGCTGAGTGAAGTAATCAGCTGCAAACTGACTTAGAAAAGCCAAGACCGACCCTGGTGAGGCCTTTCCCTCCCTGTCCCACCTGTCCACTTGCCCAGGTGTGGAGTGTGATTCTAGAACTAGTGGGAAATCCCATCATCCCAGATGGGACCACCCACAGCGCTGCAGGCAGCTGTGGAAGTTTTGCTTTTGTGGAGACAGAGCCTCACTGCATTGCCCAGGCTGGCCTTGGACTCCTGGGCTCAAGGGATCCTCCTGCCTCAGACTCCCGAGGGGTGGGGACTACTGGCTTGCACCACCACCACCATGCGTAACCGCCTCGCTGCACTGACACGTGAACTGAGGAACAGAGAGGGGTGCTCCTGGGCTGGGATGGGAACAGGCAAAACTCATCCACCATCGAGCACAGGAAGGGAAACGGAGGCCAAGAAAGAAGGCAGGGCGGGAGAGGCTTCGGCCACGGGGCGGGGGTTCAACAGGCCAGCCGCGGTCTCAGCCAGCCAGGCACCGCGCCCTTGGGCAGAAAAGCACAGCTTCCTGAGCCCACAGGCTCCTCCGTCCCCAGGACCATGACACGCCTCTGCACATGTGCTCAAAGAGGCTCAGAAAGGCACGGGCAAGGGTGTGGGCATGTGCAGAAAAACACCGCGCACCACAGCAGGGGACCCCGCAGGAAACCCACGTGCACTGTCGGGATGCCTCCTGCACTAAGCTGCACGTCACATGCGCACACTGGGCACGCGCCTGCCTCCGTGGAGTCCTGACCCAGCCACCGCACCTGCCATCCTATTCCAAAAACACCAGATCCACAGAGAGGCCAGCGGCTCTTCCTGGGGACCAGCAGGAGAGGCCCTGAGGCTCCCGAAGCCCAGGCCTGTTCTGCTGGCCACTGCCCCTCACAGGACCTGGGCAATCGCCCTGTCCCTCTAGCCGTGGCTCTCTCATGTACCCAGGGGCCAAGAAGCTCCCTGCTCCACTGGCACCTCAGTGAAGAGGGCCACCCCTCAGAGAAGGCCACTCAAGGAATCCCTGCCACCCCAGCCGAGGGACAGTGATCAGGGACTGCGGGAGGCCACCCTGACTCAGCGGGTGGAAACAGATTGTCCCAGCACTCACGGCCAAGTGGGAGCGAGAGGTCTCCTTCGGGAAGTGTGAGCCCTGGAGCCACCGGCCCCGAGGGGGCTCCCTCCAGGACACAGGGAATTAGACTCGGCCTGATTAAGCTCAGTGAGGCCCACGGTTTGCCCCAGATGGGATGTGACAGCTCCTCTGCCACACAAACACCCCTGCCCCACGAGGCAGGGGGTGGCCTGGGAAGGGAGGGTCATGGGACACCCTCCCTCCCTCCCAGGTGAGTCAGCGCTGCCATTCCAACTGCAGGGCCCAGCCTGGTGGCCTTAGTCAGCAGGGCACCATGTGGCTGCAGTTTGTCAGCTGACCGTGGGGGGAGGGCGCAGCCTGCCCCAAGTCTTAAAGGCACCTTGTGGGGGCACCACGGTCCCCGGCCTCTCTGAACCTCAGCATCCCCTTCGGTTGAGCAGATCCTGTAGGACCTGGCCAGATCCAAGATGCCTCATCAGCAAGGCCACACCCCAGTAGAGCTGTTCTCGAAGTCACCCACAGCGTCACCCTTGGGACCACCCACCACTCTACCCTGATATGGATGAAGGCCTCTGAACAGTGCAGGGTGAGTGGGAGCCAGACAGACCACCAAGCAGCCTCTTCCGAGACCTCCACAAATGACCCCCACAGCCTCCCCCTCCACCGGGGCCCACTCCTGCATTGCCCCCACAGGTGGCCTGGGGACACTCATGTCTAAACCTAACACCCAGCAGCACTGTTGGCGATCGCTGGAGCCTGAAGGTGGCCAC